CTGTAGGGATTCTATGCTTCTATGAAATGATGGAGCTGGACATTGTCTTCAGGAAGCAGAGTGGAGGGCATGCCCCTGTCTGTATCAGTGGTGCTGAGATAGAGAAGGTTGGGAGCGTCAAGATCACTAACAATCTGTCTTGGTCCACCCATGTCGATACGACAGTCACAAAGGCAGTGCAACATTTCTACTTCCTCAGGAGCCGAAGGAAATTTAGCATGTCCACAAGGACTCTTACCAATTTTTATAGATGCACCACAGAAAGCATCCTATCCAGATGCATCACAGCTCGGTATGGCAACTGCTCTGCCCAAGACTGAAAGAAACTACAGAGGGTTGTGAACACATCCCAGTCCATTGTACAAACCAGCCTCCTTCCATTGACTCCATCTATACGTCCCGCTTCTTAGGGAAAGCAGCCAACATAATCAAAGACCCCTCCCACCCCAGTTATACTGTCTTCCACCCTCTTCCATCAGACAGAAGATATAAAAGTTTGTAAACATGTACAAACAGATTCAAGAACAACTTCTTCCCTGCTGTTATTAGACTTTTGAATGGACTCCTTTAACGTTAATGTGATCTTACTGCACCTTCTCGGTTGCTGTAACACTGTATCCTGCGCTCTGTTCTGTTACCCTGATGCACTTGTATAGTACGATCTTCCTGTAAAACACGTAAGACAATACATTTCACTGTACCTCGGTACACATGACAGTAATAAATTAAATTAAATTAAATCATTTAGCCCCATTTCCTCACTCTTTCTGTTATTCCTGCAATTTATTTTTTCTTTCATTTTTATTCAGTTCCTTTTGAATGTCTGACCACACTATCAAGTGATGCATTCCAAATTCCAACTGTTTATTTTGTAATGAATTGTGTTTTTTTTCTCGTGTCTTTTTTCAGTTCTTTCTCAATCCCCTTCTGCCCTTTGGCCATTGGCAACAGTTTTTCATTTGGTCCATCTAAACCCTTCATAATTTTAGAGATAACACAGTGTGGAGCGGGAGGAACACAGCAGGCCAGGCAGCATCAGAGGAGCAGGAAAGCTGATGTTTCGTGTTGGGATAATTTTAAGTACCTATTATTCACTACTCCACTTTCTGCACTTCATCGATGTAGCCTTCACCCCTCATCCCTGGAATCATTCTATTATAATTTCTTGTGTACTCCTTTCAAAACCTTGAAATAAAACTGGAATCAGGCAGTTGATGGAACTTGGCAGTGGTTAGCTATTCCTTTGTGTTGAGTGCCCATTGTTGTTGTGCAACCTTTGTACAAATACCTTCAGGAGTTAAGTAAAAATTCAATCACCTGACTTCAGACCCTGAAGGGTTTTGACTGAGTCCCTAAGATGGTAAAGTGAGCATTGAAGATGGGAACAGTATGTTAACATTTTTGGAATTGTACAACCTTCTAGCTTGCTCTGCTACAGCCCTCCAATGAAATGCAATCCAAGTTGGAGGAATGACCCCTCATTTTGCGCTTAGACATTTAAAGCCTGTAGAATGACCTCTAACCTTCAATTTTCTTACACCCCCCAGCCTCTTGTTGGCTTTACTGTCAATAATCTATCTCTCCTTTTCACAGCTAGTATTTACACTCATTTTACATGTCTAGCTCTCCTTTACCACCATGTCCACTGTGTTTGTCTTTTGCTCTGGGCACACTCACAATCTGTTCCACTTACTCCACCTCCCTGTCTGTCAACCGCACTAAAAACTATCATTTTGCAGCCCTGAACGATAGTCATACTGAACCTAAAGCGTTAACTCTGTTTCTCTCTTCACAGATGCTGCCAGACCCGCTGAGCTTCTCCAGCACTTTCTGTTTTTAATCCTAGCTTGGCATTTTTTCCAAGAAGGCTTTTGAGAGCTGCTCAAGTTTCTAGTTGGAATTTGCAATCAAAATTGACTGTTTAGTCAAAGAATGGACTGTATGTATTCGAGATGTTACATGAATTTTGATGAAATAAGACCTTCCATTGAACACAGTTCACCATCGGCCTTGGCAATGACTGGTATGAAATTGGGAAAACATTTGAATTGGCAACTTGTTATTGAAGAGTTTGCTGCAGACCTGTTCTTGTATAACAGTTAAGTGCCAATTCTTCTGGAAGCTGTTTCATTTTAATTTGATGGTTTAGGGTGGAGATTGCTAACTAGGATGGCTCTTGTTGCACATACAGAATTGCCCTTTTTGTGGTGAGTTGCCTTTTTGACCACATTGTAGTCAGTGGGGCTGAGTCCTGCTAAGCAGAGTTGGGCTCTATGAGTTGAAGAGGTCAGAGAGGAGGGCTAAAGGTAGCAAGAGAATGACTGACTTGGGCGTGGGGAAGGGGTTCATAGAATAATAGAATCCCTACACTGTGGTAACAGGCCCTTCAGCCCAACAAGTCTATACTGACCCTCACAGCATCCCACCCAGAACCCATCCCCCTATAGCTCACCTAATCTACACATCCCCGAACACTACGGGCAATTTAGCATGGCCAATCCACCTAGCCTGCACATCCTTGGACTGTGGGAGGAAACCGGAGCACTTGGAGGAAACCCACGCAGACATGGGGAGAATTTGCAAACTCCACACAGACAGTCGCCCAAGGGTGGAATTGAACCTGGGTTCCTGGCGCTGTGAGGCAACAGTGCTAACCACTGAGCCACCCTGCTGCCCCGATGGACCTCCAGGACAACAGCAAAGGAATGTTCCCTCAACCAGCCTATGCAAGTAAAGCTGGCTGGCTTCCTGCCTACAAAATACTGGCAACAGATATAATGAGGCCTTCAGTTGATGATTGGTAGGCTGTTAAAGGGCATCAATTAGTACAAGGTCCCTCTCTAAAAGTTTTAGTTGGGTCAGAGATGGACGGGGGAGTGACAGGTCCAGAGAAGCTTCGCGAGAATGATCCCAGGAATGAAAGGCTTAACATATGAGGAACATTTGAGGACTCTGGGTCTAAATTCGATGGAGTTTAGAAAGGTGAGTGGGGATCTCATTGAAACTTATAGAATACTGAATGGCCTGGACAGAATAGACATTGGGAAGGTGTTTTCATTGGTAGGAGAGACTAGGGCCTGAGGGTACAGCCTTAGAGTAAAGGGAAGACCCTTTAGAACAGAGATAAGGAGAAACTTCTTCAGCCAGAGACTGGTGAATCTATCGAATTCATTGCCACAGAAGGCTGTGGAAGCCGGGTCATTGAGTATATTTAAGACTGAGATAGGTAGGTTCGTGATTGTTAAGGGGATCAAGGGTTACAGGAAGAAAGTGGGAGAATGGGGTTGAGAAACTTATCACTCATTCGTATATTCCAGAGAGCACGTCAGACTCGATGGGCATTCTGACTTCTTTCTGCAATACTATGACTCCCTAGATTGACAGCATTTTTGTGCCCATTTTTATGATGGTAACATTGGTGACTGTGCCTTCAATCATTCCGACTTTAAACTTGAATTTTCACTGAACCTCACCATCGCTCTTCTTCCATCAAGATGTCTGTGCACCCCTGCCCCTTAAACCGTGGGCTGGATTTATAGCCGCCCTCTGGTAGAGTTGAAATTAGAGCAGAAGGAGACCTCAAATTAGGCCTGTCATTCAATAAGGCTGTGGCTAATGTGTTTGTGTTTAGAATTCCGCATTTCTGTCTAGCCCCCTTACCCTTTGCAACTTAGTGCCTCACTGTCTTTTCTCCATAACCCTGCTTATTGCTTTTATTCAAATAAGCATCTAATGCCCTCTTGAATGCCCCCACCACACTTCCAGGTAGTGTGTTCCAGACTTGAACCACTCCCTGTGTGAACAATTGATCTGAATTTGAACACTGAGGAGAATGTTGGTACCCAGAACGACCTTGAACATGTCTTGACAAACAAGTAATAATGGCTGAAGTAAAAGTTACAGTTTCGAAACATTTCACCTTGCACTTATTAGGAGTCAAGAGACAAGAGTTCACCATTTCAAAGAGAGCAACAATTTTAACACCCAGATTTGGCACTAATCCGAAATGCAGCGTGGTGACTCAATGGGGTTACGATCATTTCGGGAAGACTTCAAAGTAGAGAATGTATCTATTGGTAACAGTTGGCAATAAATTCAAATGAATCTTCCAACTATTTATTACCTTTAGTCTGTTGGATTATCAGGGAGTTAAACATCTTAATCCAACTGGCTGGTAATCCAGTGATTTGTTTGAGCCTCTCCTATTCAAAAGTTTAAACATTAATTCATTTAATGTGATTTTCAAACTGGTAGATATTATCTTCAGACAATGATGTCACAAATATGTCTTTCTGTCTAGATAGACAGTAGTCCTGTATCACTAAATGAGAGTTCTTTCTGTAGCTCAAGCCACAACTAAAATTGAAAATATTCCTTTTTGCTCCAACCTGTATTTGGAATGGATGTTTGATTTTTGTTCCCTCAACGATCCCTGTGTTCAACAGTTGTAGCATTGACCCACTATTTCTTCCAATGTTCTGAGCCAGTAATAAGTCAGGACATGATAAAAATGTTTATGGCTTTGTGTCGCACAGCTCTGATCTGCATTTTTTTTGATGGTACGGTGACTTTTAAAAAGAGATTAAAGCAGACAATCATATCTGGTTGTATTGTCAGTGAATCAATATCAAAGTTTTTAGCTCGTTTCAGTAACATCAAGATATTTTAACATTGGATATCTGATGAAATCTACCGTGGGGTGTCTCTGCCAATTTTTCTCAACCTTGCTGTGTATTTTTTTAAAACTACTGTCCTACTGCTTCAGTGTTTCTCAGATACTTTGAGTTGCAAGTGATATATCAGGATATCAGCCCAGTTTGATCTTAGCCCCAGTGTCAGTTTTAGGTCCATGATTCACTATTCCCAAGGTTTACCTCTGAATTTATGGGTTTGTGACTAGATTTGGGAACTTGTAGACTAAATAATGTTTCCTTCCCATTTTTCTTTCCTTTTTGTTGTTGTTGAATTTAATTTACTCACCATTTTATTTCTGCTTTCAGGTCATTTCAGTTGGGACAAATACCTTAAGGAGACAGGCGCTGTTGCTGCCCCTCCCCATTGCTTTAAGCAGGTGAAATAGGCTTTTATTTCATTTTAGTGCTGTGATAATTTGTATCGAGTTGAGGTTGGTTGTGGCATTCACAGGGAAAATCGGCAAATGTTACCTCGTACAATGTATGATGTTAATTATGAAAATGAGTGAAGCGAGCCATAATTGATATCTGTCTGGCCATCAGACATATCTCAGTAAGACTGTGATGTGCTTTTCATTTGTTTTCAGAAGGGTGCTGAACCGTTATTTGATTCTAATTATACAAAACGTTTTGGGCTGATAATGAGAAATTAACGTGAGATTAAAGGGAATTGGGGGAGAACTCCTCGCTGGGTGGAGTCATACCCAGCATAAAGGAAGATAGTTGGAGAATTAAATACCAGTAGTTAAATGCTGCTTAGCTAGAGTGTAGCCATAATCTTTTCTAATCAGTTTTAATTCCATCGCATTCACAAACTCCAACAAAACTTGATTGCTTGTTCCCCCTTTATATGAATAACTTACTATAGACGTGCTAACATTTAAAAACAGGAATTGCTGGAGAAACTCAGCAAATCTGGCAGCATTCATGGAGGGAGAACCTGAGTTAATATTTCGAGTGACTCTTCCTCTCTTCTCCAGCAATTTATGTTTTTGTTTCAAATCTCCAGCATCTGCAGTTCTTTGTTCATTTAATGTTATAACACACCTCTGGAGCAGGTGGGACTTGTATGTGAGCCTCCTGGCTCAGAGCTAGGTGCACTACCATAGTGGCTCAGGGATCTCCTATTCTCCATGTATGCACTCAGTCAAATGCTCATGCAGTTATCCCTTAGTTGACATATAATCATCGCCACCTATTTCCTGGTTCCAATTGGTCTTGAGATCCCCACCAAACCCTACTAGCCGCTTCCTTGTTTTGAGTACACCAGCACTCAAGTTTGAAACTGTCCCAGACACTTGATTGCCATTCCATCCAGCAACATAAATATGCAGTCCACCAACCATCAGAGCACAGTGGTGTTGATGTGTACCATCTACAAGATCCACCGCAGGAAGTCACCAAGGTTTATTTGAAAGTATCTTCTAAGCCCACATCCTCCATCCACATAGAACGACAAAGGCAGCAGGTGCATGAAAACCTGACCATCAGCAAGTTCCCTTCCGAATCTCTCACCATCCTGACATCACCTGTCCTTCACTGTTGCTGGCTGAAGCTCCTGGACCTTCTTCCCTAATTGCACCGTGGATGTGCCTACAGGGTGCAAACTGCAGTGGCTCAAAAGGAGATCAACAGTATTCTCTTCTCAATGGCAGTTCGGAATGGACAACAAATACTGGCTTAGCCAGTGAAACCCACGTGAATGAATGAATGAATAAATAAATCTAGGGTAAACTGAGCAAGAAGCTTAATTAATGGGCTGAAATAGGGATGGGATATGTAAAATTGGTTGGCATTGGGAACAGTAACAAGGAAACGTAGTCTCTAAGATCTCCAAACTGTAAAAATAAGCTTGAAATCTGTAAAACCTTCAGTTTCACATTTGTGGTTTAAACATCATTCAAATCCCTGTGCACAAGCCGATGATTGAACCTGTGGTGGTTTTACAGACTGCATGTGTATATACACTGGTTCAGCATGTAATGATCACAAATTTTTTTGTAGTGTACAACTTAAACCTACTTCCCCTCGGCCAAAGTTTTGGTCATCTGCCTGATATTTTCATGGTGCGGCTTAGTCCAGTTTTGTTTCAGAATGCTCTTGTTGCTTCATTGTGTTAAAGCATTGTACAAGTTATTATTTTATTAGTCTGTAAGGTGACTTGATACGTCAGATTAAGCTACGTCTAAATTAGTCAATGGAGATGATCATGGTACTTAAAAAGGACTTCTTTTTTATATTTGCTCACGGGACAGGGACATCACCCGGCTGGGCCAGTATTTATTGCCCGTCCCTGGTTGCCCTTGAGAAGGAGATGGTGAGCTGCCTTCATGAACTGTTGCAGTCCATGTGGTTGTTAGGAAGTTCAAGATTCTGACCCCGTGTCATTCAAGGAGTAACAGTACATTTTATTCCAAGTCACAATGGTGAGTGACTTGGAGAGGAAGTGGGGTGAATTTCATCACACTCCAGACATGCACCTTGTAGATGGTGGACAGGCTTTGGGAAGTTAGGAGGTGAGTTACTTGCCACAGTATTCCTGATGAAAGCAAAATACTGTGGATGCTGCAATTCTGAATCAAACCCAGAGAATGCTGGAGAAACTCAGCAGGCCTGGCAGCATCTGCCAAGAGAAATAAAGACCTTGATTCTTTGTCTGCAGATGCTGCCCAACCAGCTGAGTTTCTCCAGCATTCTCTGTTAATCCCAGGCTCTGACCTGCTTTTGTAGTCACAATACTTCTATGGCTGGCCCAGTTCAGTTTCTAGTCAATGTTGATAGTCATGGAGTCAGCGATGGTAACACCATTGAATGTCAAAGGTCAATGGTTAAGTTCTCTGTTGTTGGAGGTGGTCATTGCCTGGCAATTATGTGGCATGAATGTTACATGCAATTTATCATCTCCAGCTTGGATGGTGTTCAGGTCTTGTTGACAATAGACACAGACATTTTCAGTGTGAGAGGAGTTACAAAGGGTGTTCAACATTGTACATACGTCAACATCCCGACTTCTGACCTTAGGATGGAAGGAAGGTCAGCAGATATTAATCACCTTTAGTGGTTTATCACTGTGGCCTGTACAGGGAATCAGAAATTAAGTGAATGTGTGAGCATCCTGCATTGCTTGCCGTAAACTCCTGCAAGTGTGACAGAAGGAATTTGGAACTCTGTTGGCAGTACTTGACTGGGCTGATTCACTGCTGCCTTTAATATTTTCAGAGTGAACTGACTTCAGACAAATCTAGTCGTTTAAACAACTCCGTGTTGAAGTTTTGATTGGCCTGAGGTCGTGGTTCACCTTATTTCTGCATGTGTTCAATGCTTTACAGGCAGTCGTTTCATTGTTTCACATTAATATGACTTGAAGCCTTTTTTTATAAATTCCAGAAATATCTTTCCTAAGTCAGTTGACATGCTGTACCAGGATTTAAAGTTGTGCAGTGTTCTTGATTATTAGACAACTGTGGAGTAAATCACAAAATATGGTCTGTTGTTCAGCGTGGTATGAGAATATTAATGCTTAAGAATTGTGAAGGCAGACCTTCTAATTCAGTCAATCCAACTTGATAGCATCAGAATTCAAGTACATCTTGAATGTATATCAGATATAGACAACTGGGATCAAATGAATCTCTTGAAGAGTATAAAAGGCATAGGAGCATTCTTAAGAGGGAAATGAGGAGGGCAAAAAGGGGATATGGGATACTCTTGACAAATAAGGTTAAGGATAATCCAAAGAGATGCTACAAGTATATAAGGAGCAACTAGGGAGAGAATAGGGCTCCCTAAAGATCAACAAGGTCATCTCTGTGTTGTACCTCAGAAGATGGGAGAGATCCAAAAGAATATGTTGCATCAGTTTTTACTGTGGAGGAAGACATGGAGGCTAGTGAACTTTGGGAAAACAAACATTGATGTTTTGAAAACTCTTCACATTACAGAAGAGGAATTGCTGGAGGTCTTAAAACATAAAGGCGGTAAATCTCCAGGACCTGATCATGTACATCCCAGGATGTTGTGGGAAGTTAGGGAAGAAATTTTGGGGCTCCTGGCCATCTATAACCACTGGTGAGGTGCCGGAGGACTGGAGGGTGACTAATGTTGTGCCTTTATTTAAGAAAGGCTGTAAGGAGAAGCCTGGGAACTATAGTTTTGTGCGCCTGATTTCGGTGATGGGTAAGTTGTTGGAGGCGATTCTGAAAGATAGGATTTACATGGATTTGGAGAGGCAAGGTCAGATTAAGAATAGTCAGCATGGTTTTGTCCAAGGGAAATTGTGTCTTACAAACTTGCTTGAGTTTTTTTAATAAAGTAACAAAAAAGATTGATGAGAGCAGAGCGATAGACATTGTTTACATATTCATTTGTAAAGCTTTTGACAGGGTTCCAGATGGTAGACTGATTAGTGAAGTTAGATGGCATGGGATTCAGGGAGAGCTTGCTAATTGGATACAAAATTAGTGGTGAGAGACAGGGTAGTGGTGGAGGGCTTTTGGACTGGAGGCCTGTGACCAGCGATGTTCCACATGGTTTGATACAGGGTTCACTTTTGTTTGTCATTTATGTAAATGATTTGGATGAGGATTTAGGAGGCATGGTTAGTAAGTTTGCAGATGACACCAAAATTGGAGGTATAGTGGACAGCGGAAAAGATTATATAAGATTACAAAGAGATCTTGACCATTTGGGCTGAGGAGTGGCAAATGGAGGTTAATTTGGATAAATGCAAGATATTGCATTTTGGTAAAACAAACAAGGCCAGGACTTGTACAATTAATGGTAGGGTCCTGGGTGGTGTTGTAGAACAGAAAGACCTAAGGGTTCAGGTACATAAACTCTTTGTAGACAGGGTGGCTAAGAAGGCATTTAGCACGCTTGTCTTCATTGCTCAAACCTTTGAATACAGGATTCATGTTGAAGTTGTGTAGGATGTTGGTGAGGCCTCTTTTGGAGTACTGTGTACAGTTCTAGTCATTCTGCTATAGGAAGGATATTAAATTGGAGAGTTGAGGTTGGTTGGCTCGCTGAGCTGGTTTGTTGTTTCGCAGCCGTTTATTTACCGTGCTTGGTAACATACTCAGTGCAGCCTCCGATGACGCGTCAGTGTGTTTTCCCACCTGAGTTTTAAACTCTGGGGTCCGTTGAGATGGATTGCCTCACTTCTGGTTTTCCTTCGTAGTGGAATGTATATGGAGAGTGTTCAGAAAAGATTTACCAGAATGTAGCTGGGACTGGAGACTTTCAGTTATAAAGATATGCTGGATAGGTTGGAATTTTTTTTTACTGGAGCGTTGAAGGCTGAGGGGTGACCTTTATAGAGGTTTATTAAATCATGATGGGCATGGATAAGGTGAGTAGCACAGATCTCTTCCCTGGG